TAATTGTAGTATATACGAATTCAATTATAATATAGACGAAAAACTATAGTTCTTTGAGAAATTTCAAATAGTTCTTTAGAAGAAAAAAAGCAAAAGGGGAAAGGCGACAGAAAAAGAAAATTATTATAATTATACTAGTTCAATTGTATTTATATATAGTTCTTTGTATAGTTCAATTGTATTTGTAATAGTTCTTTGAGAAATTTCAAGTAGTTCTTTAGAAGAGGAGAGAAAGCAAAAGAGGAAAGGCGACAGAAAAAGAAAACTATTAAAACTATAATTCAATTGTATTTATAATAGTTCCTTGAGAAATTTCGAGTAGCTCTCTAGAGGAGGAGAGAAAACAAAAGAGGAAAGGGGAGGACAGAAAAAGAAAAGTATTAAAACTATAGTGCAATTGTAATATAATTTTTTGAGAAATTTCGAGTAGCTCTCTAGAGGAGGAGAGAAAACAAAAGAGGAAAGGGGAGGACAGAAAAAGAAAAGTATTAAAACTATAGTTCAATTGTAATATAATTTTTTGAGAAATTTCGAGTAGCTCTCTAGAGGAGGAGAGAAAACAAAAGAGGAAAGGAGAGGACAGAAAAAGAAAATTAAAACTATAATTCAATTGTAATATAATTTTTTGAGAAATTTCGAGTAGCTCTCTAGAGGAGGAGAGAAAACAAAAGAGGAAAGGAGAGGACAGAAAAAGAAAATTAAAACTATAATTCAATTGTAATATAATTTTTTGAGAAATTTCGAGTAGCTCTCTAGAGGAGAAGGAAAAAAGAAAGGGGAGGACGTTTTTCAATTTTCGCTGAGAATTGAAAAACAAAAGAAAAGTATATACTATAATTCAATTGTACAGTTCTTTGAGAAATTTCGAATAGCTCGGTGCCCTTTTTAGAGGAGAAAGGAGGGGAAAAAAGAAATGGGGGGACACGTTTTTCAAAAACAATTCAAAAACAAAAGAAAAAAAATATATATAAACAACTATAGTTCAATTGTAGCATATACAAAAAACTATAATTCTTTGAGAAATTTGGAATAGCCTTGATGTCTTCTTTAAAGAAAGACAGAGGAGAAAAAAGAAACGAAAAGAATTCTCGCTGAGAATTGAAAAACAAAAGAAGAAGAAAAGTATATATGGAAAACTATAGTCCAATTATAATAGTATAATTCTTTGAGAAATTTCAAATAACTGTGTCTTCTTTAAAAAAGGAGGAAGGAGAAAAAAGAAACGGGGGAAAGTTTTTCAATTCTCGCGTCGCTGAGAGCTTGTATAAAGCGCGAAATGTTGCGTGGAATCTTGGAATTTAAATATCGGCCCGGATCCAAGTCGTGCCCAGGATCTCGAATCACGCGTGGATATATATCGCGAATTCGAGGGCTTTAAACCCTCGTTGATCCCGCTATGAATTTATGCATGTCGAACGCTCGAGAAATCACGTATCATATATATATATATATATATATATGTTTCCACTCGAGACGAATCGCTTTTTCCTTCCTGATTCGCGCGGTCGACTTCCCACCATTTTTATCCGACCGGCCCTCCGATTTACCGACCGAGTATCACTCGCTTCGAGGATGATCGTCGATTATGGCTTCTCTATTCTTCCCCACGTTGGACCGGCACACGAATTCCAAAGAACTTATCCGCGATTTCCCAAAGGGCCCTCCTCGATAATTCAACGTCCCCAAGAATTCGACTTTGTCCTCCGTCCTCCGGAATCGCACCGTGCCGCTCCTCGTCGTTTCTTCTTCTCTCGATATTCGCGGACACCGCGCTGACACCCATCTTATCTACGTACTTTTTTTTCACAAACGACACGCGAAATAAAAACGTAGAGGTTGACGAGACTCCATCTCCATTCTCGTCGGCACGAACGAAAGGGATTCGATCGAAATACGATTTCTCTGATGCCAGAGAGCAACTTTCTTTCTTCCTTTTTTCCTCTTCAGTCCTCCTAGCTATTCGAAATTTCTCAAAAAATTATATTATAATTGAATTATAGTTTTCCGTATATACTTTTCTTCCTCTTTTGTTTTTAAATTCTCAGCGAGAATTATTTTTTCCTCCTTCTCTAAAGAGCTATTCGAAATTTCTCAAAGAACTATAGTTTTTCGTATACATTACAACTGAACTGTAGTTTTTCGTATATTTTATAATTTTTCGTATATACTATAATTGAATTGTAGTTTTTCGTATATACTACAATTGAACTATAATTTTTCGTATATACTACAATTGAAGTATAGTTTTTCGTATATATTACAATTGAACTATAATTTTTTGTATATACTACAATTGAACTATAATTTTTCGTATATACTACAATTGAACTATAATTTTTTGTATATATTACAATTGAAGTATAGTTTTTCGTATATACTACAGTTGAAGTATAGTTTCTCGTATATAATACAATTGAATTATAGTTTTTCGTATATAGTACAATTGAAGTATAGTTTTTCGTATATACTACAATTGAAGTATAGTTTTTCATATATAGTATAATTGAACTATAGTTTTTCGTATATACTACAATTGAACTATAATTTTTCGTATATACTACAATTGAACTATAATTTTTTGTA